TGAGAAAACCTGTTTTGTTCTCCATCACTTACTTTTCAGCATTATCCGAATAGACAGAATTGCACGAAGCCGTGTCTGTTTGATCCTTCATCATATATGAAGTGGAGGTCGCCGATCTATGAACAACGTGTTTGACACACTCGTAATTGGAACGAGTACGACGTACGAGCGGCATGACAGTAAAGGTAGAGAATGTTTCAAGGGCGGTCGCTGATACGTCTGTTGAAATAAACCGTCTATTCTCTAGTTTATAGCCGACTAGAAAAAGTAGAGACATTGAGAGCAGGAGTGGACGAGAAAAGAACAGAAGCAGTGACGAAATTGTAATTTCGCCACGATTCGGTGGATATTGCACTTGCTATGATGCAGAGTAGAAAAAAGATTGGTCCAATGAAATTTCGTGCAAGAGTGTACCACACGGAACCTCTGAGAGGAAGTTCAGGAACTTTTCAATCAGAGGGTATGATGTTAAAAATTCTCAGTTAATTATCTCAACAGATAAGAGAAGTTCAGCTCTCTCAACTATGAAACAAGGTCAGCTGGAGCTTCTGAAGCTGGTCTACATTCTATTGAGTCTAGCACGCCTATTTGATGCCTAACTGGTAAGAAGAGACGCAGAAACCAATATCTTCAAAAAGCAACTGATATATTGAACACATTTGTCAGTGACGGTAGGCAAAAACCCAGGGAGCTCCGGTAAAAGTGAAACTTGGGAAATCATCCCCGACTCTGGGAATATAAGTGAAGAGACATTGATTCAACTTTGGCGATGGCAGGCAATAAATTTTTGTGTCTTCCACAGGCCAGCGAGGTCCTTTACAATCATTTTCAGGAGATGAAATCGGCGAATATGGTATTTTACTCGAGATTTACCCCATGCCCTACTAGCATATTTGTTCTTTTCTGTTCGGATTTTACACTATTCCTGTCTAGGATCACCGTGAAAAAATGGTGAGTATGAAGGTCTACCGAATGTTGTTTTTTCACTACTTTGCTTTCCCATTGCTCCCAATCTGATCCCATTGCTCACCTAAGATGATGAGCTTGGAGAAGAATAAGTACTAGAGGGCTGAAGGTGACTTAAGGCCGGGCCTCTGAGCAATATCCTATCAACAATTAAGTTTTTGGTGGTAATCAATCCCGTTTCTGATGTGAAAACGATATTGCCCTCCATGACTAGACTGATACCAATCAACTGACCTCGGGGAACTGATAGGCTTGATTGGCCTAGGCGATATCGATGCGGGATTTCATCCCCGTACTTGCCACTTCGCCACCTCCGATCGCAGNCAGCAGCTCCCAAACGTTTACATGGTATCCCCTCGACATGGGTCAGCTTGACCCCTGTATGTAAACATGCCATCTCGTCGAAAACCGGTCTGTTAGAGCAAATGCCAGTTAGAGCAAATGCCAGTTAGAGCAAATGCCAGTGGGTTCCCTACTCGTCTTTGTCTAGAGCTTTAGCGAGCTCATGGTGTCTTGGTCACCCAGGAGTTGGACGGCCCCTTTCGTCTCGACAGTGTCAATACCTCCGTCAAGACGATGTGCATAATAAATAACGGCATCTTATACTTTCGTGGCACATAGAGAGCCTTGTTGTTCCTGTGTGGACATGATCGATCCTATTGAACTTCCTCGAGATCCCTGTTTACCCGCATGACTGCACTTCGTCCAGTGTTCTTAGTATTTTGAAATAAAAAGGGAAAGTTGCGAAATAGCACATCCATCCTTTTTTTGCGCTGCCAAAAGGAGTGACTTTCCCATCAGGGAGACAGTTCATCTTACAATTAGACCTATGACTGGTGAAACTTGGGCGGGTTCACGGATGTCCTTCTGAGGGTGGCTTCGCGGAACAACCGATGATCCTATCCAGTGTACTACAGCAAACCTCTTATCGCCAGTCCTAATGTGAAGCTCTCGGTCGTTCTTATAGAGGAATATTATAGTCCAGGTCGCCGACGATGACCCACAGAAGAAATGATCTTCAAAGAAAAGCTGCCGCTAACCGCCACTTGCTACATATGGAACACTTCCAGCTCCTATTTATGATTTTCTGGGTGTGTAGACGACATTGACTATAACAGTTGAGCCACCTACTCTTACCAGAGCCTGAAACTGGTCAAGGAACTTTAGTTTTTGGGTACGATAATATGAGCCACAATCATTCTCCTGTTTCAGGAACATAGTTATGTAGGTACCCTTAAGCGGCTTGACAGGCTCTGGGTATATTCCAAGTTCCATATAGGTAGCCGTACTAGTCCAGACTGGAGAATGGGTCTACTAGTGTACTTTCGCTGGTGCAAGCTTTTGGCTGAGCCAGCAGCCCCGCCGATGGGTTTACCGAAAGTATCCACAGATTCACCACATGTTGGTGCCTAGTAATAGGGAGACGTGTATACCTACATAGCATGGCAGGAACAACTCCTGTCTTGAGAATAAACATTACTTCTGAAAAAGGTCTGCAAAATGCAGAAGCTGTACTCGAATTTAGATATTTGACATTTCCACCAGTAAGAACGAATGATAATGGCAGGAATGAGGGCTGACGCACAGAAAAGTAAGGCGCTAGCCGCCCTTGTCTTGCATCAATCTATCATGCTGTTTTATTTTTATTACATGTCAAGCATGTACGATTTTCAGATGACGACAGAAGCAGAAGGCAATAAATTTTATAAGAGTGAACACAACTAATCGGGAAAATGTTAACGACCTGGGTGGTATAGCAATAAAATCGGAATGAATGAAAACTGAAGCGCACTAAAATATCACAGAGGAATTCTGCTAACATATGAACTGAAGAAGTTTATCAATGTGGGAAGCAAGAAATGTCCACTTGAGTGTGTGTATATTGAATCAACGCGATATAAGAAGGAATGATGCATGAGATCAGAATGAGCCGTGAACCGTTATAACCGCTTCGTTTACCCTATCACGCTCCCTGGCGTAGAGATGGCGTTGTTTCATAGATAATCGTGGCCAAACTCTTGAAATTATCGTTTGAACCATCTCAAAATACATCAAATACACGCTCATAAGTTGCGGGGACTATCGTCGCCTCATGTTCAGGAACATCTAGCACACCTGCGGTACACATGTGCAACATAGTTTCCCCAGTTGTTCCCCTTGTGTGCTACGCTCACATTCTAATATATCTCTACACACTTCTTCACCTCACGAACAATCCCGTTGTAAAAGGGGGAAATACCAATGCCACCAGTCTTCTTATTTTAGCATTCCTCTACTAAGCCACTGCTGTCGTAGGAAGTGGTGACAACTCTTGTCCAATGTGATAGAATCCCACGCTCATTGAGAATTGGAGGGCCGGCTTCAAACTTACAGTTTCTCCAGTTTTTTAGGGCCAATTCTGTCGATGGTGAATTGCAGCAGAAGAAGGTAGACGAAACGTCGAAGTGTCCTATTTTCACATACACTCTGTGCGATAGACAACGGCGTCTTAGTAAACCCTGTCGTATGAATGGAAAGTTTTGATTACCACACAGTGAGAGGGGGTACAACTTCTGCACTCTGTGGGAAATCCGATTAGTCCCACATCAATTTGCCACAACTATCACAGTCTACCAACTAACCGGCTCCGTATGGAAAGAAGGTCTGATTAGTCTGAGCGGGTATCCTCCCAGCATCCTATTCCTTTGCCATGTATGTGATAGTGGGTCTCTTGCCACTAGACCACCTCCACTTGAGCTGACCAAAGATGGATGGGCAACTCACAATCAGTGTAGCAGTGTAGCAAATCAGGCTTTCCAAGGGTATGTATCCAGCTCTGAACCAGTGCACTACTTTGATATGGTAATGACAGACGATTTGATTTAAGTGCTAGCCTTAACTCTTTCACGATTCTATAGGGGACTCAAATTCAAGATGCTCTGGAAGAAATGCTGAAGGAACAGTAGTTCGGTGGAAATATTGGCATATTAAGTGGATGTACGGAAAATAGAAACCAGAATCTAACCATGAGTTTAGACACTACGAGAGATCAGATGAAGGTTAAAAGAATTAGGTAAAAGCAAAAGCCTCTTTTGTTGGATATTCGGGGGTCAGATATCCTGAATCAGCTAGTGCCAGGACATCTGACCTCCAGAAAGCTGACCTCAATAATGTGCTCGTCCTAGGCTGACTCCAAGGAAGGGTAGAGAATTGTTCTCATCCGGAAAACTCAACAAACGCTTACTGCTAGGTTTGAGTACAGAATTTCCCGTGACATTTCATATTGCTTAATTAAATTTAATATTGTTCCTTGGACTTAATTATCCTCATCAACCATTCTAGAAATGAGTGCTCATTGAGTGCTCGTGTTGTCAGGATTCTAAAGTGAGCGATGGAACGAGGCCAACAAAGTTCTAAACTAATTCGTCACTTACGTACAGGAGGATATGCACATTTTGAAGGAGGAAGAGGTGGAGAGGGTGAGCTCGAACGCTTTCAGCCAGATTGGACAACGGTTTGAAGTGAAGAGGTATGAACATGCTCTTTTTCATAATCTCAAAAATGGATTCCGATGAAATTTGCTTAGCAGAGCAATTGATCGAGTTCATATTCTCTCCAGTCCGTTTTTCTCGTTCCGCTTCCCCGTTGAGGACTTGAAGGACCTATTCAGCAGCTATCGTGAACCACTGCATACACTGCACGTACCAAATACCAACTATCGCCAAACCAAAAGCTTCTTTGAGCCCTTCAGCTCATCCCTTCCTCTTCGATATACTGCAGATTTACCCTCGCTTCGCTCCTGTTTTCATTCGCATCGGCTGCAGCTGTTATCGTTGCTGTTAATGAATTTTTTGTGTGTATTACGGTTGATTGAAAGGGGGATGTTGTTGTTCAGCTTGACAACTACGTACTCTTGCTTCAATTGACAAATGTATGGGGGTGAGCATGTGACATCCTCCTCGGACGTGCTCCTGTGACATCCTGAGACATTGTGTGTTTTTTCCATAGCGCCCTGGTTTGCGGGAACCATTCAGAATGCACTTTTATTTATTATAATGAGAAAACGTGACAACGATTTCCACATAAAGAAAGTTCAACTGATTACGTAAGCTACCCTTCTTTGGGACCCAAATTCACCTCAGGTCTGGTGATGTCCTCATTAAGCTGCTGAGTAGCTTTAACCGTCGTTAGAGCGTAACAGTGGAAGAGCCAGCTGAGCATACTAGGGCTAAGAAACACGATTATGAGAAGACCATATCTTCTTTAAGGTCATTGTCGGGGATTCCAATGCCAAAATCGGCCACGGAAGAACGGCTGAAGAGCTGCTCATCGAGGCTCACGGAATGGAATGAAATGAACAAGGTGAAAGCCTATCCGAGTTTATCATGTCGACCGACACCATCCATGGTAAACCACAGTTCCAGGAGCCCTCACATTTGGGATGGTCATGGAGCCACCTGGTGAACGGTTCCATAATGCAATAGATCACATCATCCTCAAATGAAGATTATGCCTGACTGGTCGCTGTTGTTCCGAAGTTCTACACGGGATCGGACCATCGTCTCCTTCGCGCTAGATTCTGCTTCTCAGTGCGTGGAGAGTAAGCCATGAAGTTTAGGAAGCGAAGCCCCACCTTCATCAACTGGGACCATTTCGCTACCCATGTGAGGGAATGGAAAAATTCCGTCATCGACAACGTCGATGAAGAATACCACCGACTCGTCGAACATCTTCACGGTTGTGCTGGGAGAGCAGAGATTCTTAACTAATTAATTTTTAGCGAATATAAGTTCATTACTCAAATAACATTACCTTACTACTCTTACTAGCTTAGTCCCCTCTCAAGACTCCTTCCTATTTTTTCAACCATATTACCTTTCATAGCCTACTTGTCTTAACTTCATTCCTTGTAACTTTTAATGACGGGTATTGCCACTGCCATTGCCAGTATTCTCCTGTACAATTATATATCTATCCAACACTTCTTAACTTATTTATTTTCCTGCCTGCTCTCTGTAATATACAAGTTTTCACTCGCGTCATCATGAACAGAATTGGCAGAATAATAATTGAAAGAAGCCATGCGAGCAAGCAGAGTTCGGAGAGGGTTCACTACAACCGATCTCTTATAAGACTCATTGAAGTAACACGAAAGTACGAAATTCCGTTATGCCTTGAGCTTTACGATAATTTTACGAACAGGTTTTTACCATTCCACAAGGAAGTCGTTATCAACGTGAAGGGAGGTGTTTGGCGGGGCAATACCACTTCGCTTAAACTTCTCAGTGCCGCTCTCGAGAACATTATGCGTCATTTGGAATGGGAAGACTTGGGAGTAAAGGTAAACGGCCGCTATCTACATCACCTCCGCTTTGCAGGCGAAAGCTCTGAACGAAAGAATGTTAGAACTTGGACCCTGAAGCGGTATGATTCACTGGACCACTCTGGCTCGTGACAAGGACGAATGGAGACCTTACTGGCGCTCACTGGAGGAAGTCGATGATCAACGGGACGACAGGTGATACAGGTGATCATGGTCAGCACTTCGAAAGTAAAGATCAAGGGAGCAGGGTTGGGCTTTATGCGACCCTATGCCTTCGTTAGTACCATCTACAGAATAGGTAGAAGCGATCAAGGGTCGCATGAATTTGTCACCTGCTGTCACCCTTTTTATGACTTCGTTATAAACTTACTACTTGACTTGCGATGTGGATCGACTGCCGATGTTACCGTTAGCAGCGTTAGACTATACTCGTGAGGGGATTTCACCAGTCCAGTTGCAATCTACCGTTTCTTGTTGACAGCTTTCTTCTTTTTCCTTGGGCCTGTGATGAGATTTGCATGTGTTTATTAGACAATTTTGGTTTCCCCTTTTCCCCCCCCCCCCCCCCCCCCCCCCGCCCATCCTGGTAGAGGTTGGAAATGTCGACCTGTCATGAATCTGCAATTCACCATGCTCGACAAAACCTCCCTATACTCAGAAACGGAGAAACGGTGGCGAGTCTACGTGCATACTCGACGTTACACGATATCAATGGAGCGGGTAATTTCCTCCGTGCATTCTGCACATCTGACGTTGCATGGGTGGAAGAAAATGTTTTAATGAAAACAAAAAACCATCGAACGAGAGCTATGACATGAGCCTTTTTTTTGGCTTGCACCGTGCTTTGTAGTGCACCCTCCAGCACGTAAGTGCACATCCAATCTTTTCATTAAAAGTACATTCTTGTTTCCACAGCAGAGGCACCGCGTGTGTCCTTTTAGAGCTGGAAAAGTTAATCGGGATCAAAGTTCCCCTGCATCCTAAATGTCGTTCATCAGATGACCCTTTTCTCTATGGCTCCTGTTTCAGGGAATCACAGACATTGAGTGGAAGGGCGAGGAGTAAAGGGAATCAAATAATTTCTGAAACTTCCTGCTCGAGCAGGGAATGCTTTTTCTAGTGTAGATGCTTAGATATGAGCATCCAGAGCTTATAGATCGGTGTACAATAATGAAGGAAATTGCTGGCTAGATCAAGCTCTACCTGCATTCCCCAAGTTTTGTAACTCAAGACAAGCTAGATGTTGAAGTTCCTGAATGCTTGGTGGCTTCTCGATTCTAGTGCAGGAGGACATTATTTCGATGAGGGTCCAGAAGGTTCAGCTGAAAATCCATAGAAGAGTGGGAGGTCACTAGACAGGGGACTTAGATTTTTTGATGATACCCTAAGGAATTGCAGCTTACCCAACAACGAATCCTTATCAATGATTATTCTTCACCTCCCGTTCACATACCATTTCTATTTCTACAAAAAAGATCTAGAAGTAGAATCATGAACAGGGATGTTCATAGCACATGGAACCCATCCGATTTCGCTCCAGTACTGAATTTTCTAGTCATGCGTTAGGCCTTACTATCGGTATTGTTCATGCAAAGTATGATCTAGCCTCGCATAGAGCATTGCCTCAGATTTACGGATCCTGGACCCAGATAAAGGCCAGTTCGCCTTGACGCTATGAACATCTTATGTAGAACTAGGAGAGTGAGAGGATGTATCCCCTCTCTCACGAAATTAGAGCTATACAACACAGGGTGACCTTTCCAGCTTGCCCATATAAAGAAGAAGCCTCGAAAGTTCGAGAAGACTTTGACACTTCAGTAAGCACGTGACGAATAGTTGAACAAGAAGAACTAGACAGCGGTCAGTGGTCGTATCGCGGTTCATTACTACGGTAAGACCTCTTTTACGGTGGCCGGCTAGACGAATGTCTGTTGAGATAAAGTTGAGATGGAAAATTAACTTCCGTGGAGTTCAGGAGTCGTAGAGAATAAGTGGATAATGGCGTTCAAAATAGCGATAGATGCAAATAAAATTCCGATTCGCAGAAGACCACATGAAGAGGATAAATAGACAGAATGACGATCAGTGGGAATCGTAGAGTACATAGTAGGTGCTACAGGCTGAGGCAAAAGCACGAATACTCTAAAAAGCTGGTGCTCACTTCCTTTTACAGGCACTTTCGAATTTCTGGTGCTTTTCCACAGCGCATGCGAATGCAAACAAGAAGTTATCGTTCGAGAAAATTTGTCAGAAAGGTGGTTACTCCCAGAATATACTAGGAGTGATTCATAGTCATGCCCCATGATCTGATGAAAAGGAGAACAAAGGCAGAAGAGATGAGGCGAAGAACAAGCTGAAGTGCTCTTTCACACTTCAATGCTTTGAGCGTGACGAATAACATCCCCTTTATAGCCCTTTCCAGTTCCTTTAACATATTGAAAGAGGGTCATGACCTGAACGATGTCATGGGCCCTATTAAAGCATCGGCAAAGCTAAATTATTACATGAATCATAATGAATCACAATTCCTGGAGTGGCTGGCCAAGCGAGATAAATAAAGTACAGTTGCCCTAGAGAAGTTATGAGAAAGAATGGGAATAATTGAAGACTTGGTAGAAAGAAAAGAGCAGAACAGGGTTGATCCAAGTGAAAAAAGGGGAGCATCTTCAGAGCAGAGTTCATAGCGATAATTCAAGTTCGGTTCCGAGACAAGGAGATCACGGATAAACAAAAGATTGAAAGGCTGAAGGTTGAGCCATGAAAATTTCGAGGAGCTTTTCTAGCGGCGCAGAACTGGTAATGTACAAAAGTTTATATATGAGGACCCACTTCTTGTCATTCCACCCACTACTACTAAAAATTTTGGAGCAATATCCTACATAAGAATGGAAACCGAAGTTTGTTGAGGGTTCAATCTCGTTTCAGGATGCGCCAATGCATCCGAATTCCATTCGGGATCGTTGTAGCGCTTGAATGTGTATGTAGCTCATGGCGGAGCTCAATGGACGTACCACTCGATGGAACTTCATATACGAATCCAGTGCAAGTCTACCAAGCCCTCATGAACAGAAGGTTATAGCAATGAACGGGTATCAGCCTTGGATCAGATCCACGGAACATGCACATGCTAATGCACCACATGGCACTATCCCACCTCCGCTCACTATTCTGGTTATAGGGAAATAGTTAGTCAATTACAGACCAGCACTTGTTCGTTCCCTAGGCAAAAAAGGACTGAGGTGATTGGTGAAAGTCATGAACTTTTCGTTCTCACGCTGTCGTACACCTAAAAAGATGAGCTCGTTTCCCAAAAAAATCAAATCAGGCTTAGTGTAATCAAGGGAATGTGAGAACGAAATGCTCATAGCTTCTGTAAAAAGTAAACTTATCTCAGATGAAATCAATTGGTAACAGTGCTGAAAAAACACGACGCCATTAAAATTTCATCAAGATTTCTTGTCAAACTACGGTCCGCCTGCTGAGATGTAATTTGAGTTCCGAACTGTGCTGGACGTCAGACTGATATCAGCATACATAAAACCCATACAATGGTGACCCAGCTAGGGAGGACAACTCAGAATGCCTATGGGATCAACCTATGAAGATGGTTTATGCTTCAGAATACGAAGTTTTCATATGTATGTATATGTATGTATTTTCTAGGTATTCCAACGTCCCCGAAAGAATGGCTGCATTGAATTAGCACTCAGTCCTACTAATAACGAAATTCGTAAGCCTGCAACAGTGTGAGACAAAAGTGCTATCGTGGGAACCAAATCGACGTACGGTACGGTGCTCTTATAGACCTGACCTTTGAAATCTGTTTCTCTGGATCGCTAGATATTACTCTCAGTCTAAATTTGCCCAT